TGTTTGAGTAAACGGCAATATATGTAATTTTATTAGATGGAACAATGACTGAGTTCACATTTTGACATTCCTATCCTTCTTCTTCTTTGTATTTTTAGCTCAAAAAGTTTACTTTTTGCATTATGAAAGTAGTAGTTCCATACTCTATACATTACTTTATTTTGTCTTTATTTATTGATTTTAGTCTTCCATCAGCGTATATAATTATACCTGAACTAAGTGAATAGTTTTATTATGTTTTCAATTCCTAACTGTAAGTTAGTAAGAAGGTAGTTAGGAGTACATTATAAGTAAATGAAAATATCATCATCATTATACTCGTTTAGCATTATGCATCAGCATTAAACTGGATGATCAGTTAAGTAGTCTTGCTTTCATATATATATATATATATATATATATATATATATATATATATATATATATATATATATATATATATATATATATATATATATATATATACATATCATTCCCAAAAGACAACACACTGTAAATCTTGTGAGATGAACATAAGCATAAGTAGTACACATAGTTTCGACACACTTTAATGATTTTATTCCATTGCTCAGTTATCAGTTCCACCTAGTCTTTAGATTTTTTTCTCTTTTCACATACATATATCATCAACAGAATGTAAAAAAGACTAGATGACAAAATTCTGAAAATTCAATTTTTTTGTTTCTCTCTAGTATCTGATATACATACAATCAAATAGAGAAAAAAAATATTGAAAACCACAACGAAATAAACCTGAATGAATATTTATGTATATTTTATTTATCCTTATGTGTATATATATATATACATATATATATATATATACATATACATATATATACATATATATATATACATATATATATATATATATATATACAAATATAGATAAACCTATTCCTTGTATCTTCTTCCTCCTATTCTACTACTATTTTTTGTGTGTGTCTGTTTCCATCTACAAATTGTAAAAGGGTTGAGTTGAAAATGTGATTGTTTACTCCACCCAAAGTCAATTAAATATTAATGCATTGAGCCTCTGTGATGAGTTGTTGATGTTTCATACACGTGTATATTCAGATTTCTAAAGACATGTTTATATAAACATATATATATATATATATATTCTCAATAGAAATCAAGGAAAATAGAGAAAGGTATTTCTACAAAGAATTACTTACAAGTATGGTATACACATTCACATATTTATAGGTGATATGTGACGACTATACAACATCACACACACACACTAAGAATTTGGTTAGTGTACAAATTCATTGAATAAAACACAGTCTAGGGATGATAATGAAAAGTTTTAAACATTGTCTAGGAAAATCCATATACATAGAGTTGGAAGAGATGATGAAAAAAAAGTAAGAATTGTGAATTTATAGATTCCTCTTTTTTTTTAATTGACATGTAGCAAGATGATGATGTTCTTCGCCACCTCTACCTCCTGCCTGTTCTTTTGACTCGTAAAATTTTGTTTGTGACTTCTTGTAGGTTGTTGTTTCTTTGCTGAATTACATTATCATCATACCTAATACTTTTCTCTTCAACATTTATCATGACTGATTGTGTGCGCGTATTTTTTTTAGTTAACTTTAACTAATTAACTAATCTTATCATGAAATAGCTAGCTATAAAACTAAGTACATTTTATGTCTAATCAAATCTATCGTTAGCAGATTGTGTAGATTCGTGCATCGACATAATATATATAGATAGATAACAAGCTCCAATTTAAGTGAATATGTTTGTTTATGACTTTGGCAGTTGACTATGTTTGATTAGTTTATCAGGAAAATTTCATATAGAAGTAATTTTTCAAATATTTAAAAAGTGATAACTACAACTTAATTGATCTGTTTAGTTGAAGAAAATAAAAATAGCACAGTAGATGGATGATGAAACGTGTATATACTTCATTTCGTTACAATATACTCACTCACTAGGAATCATTGTCACTTTACTTGAGTAATTCGTAGTAAATCAACTAACTATAAGTGAAGATACAAGGCGATGTGTTTAGATATCGACTTAATGAATAAGTAGTATAAAACATTTTTACTCCTTGGCCTACCTACTTTTCACAAAGTAATATTGCATAAATTAGTTAGAGATTAATTAACATGCATAAGATTTAATCTCTACTTTTATTTAAAATAATTCTACACTTACAGTTCATAAATGATGGAAACGTGAAATAGGTATCTTGTATTTCATTTAGAAGTATTGAGTTTGACCGGTTGCATTTTTATTAAGATTAATGAAATGTGAGTAAACATATTTCATTGGTATGCCTTATTTTTAGTTTCCATAAATCTTCTCGATTGCTGAAATTTTAAAAGTGAAAGCAAATTACTTCTTAACATTTTAATTGTGCCTCTAATAAATTTTTGTAAAGGGAAGACTAACGCAGTGGAATCAGGTGTCTTAAATCTTTCAAATACGAATTATGTAACATTATTAAATTGATTCGTTTAACCAGTGAACAATGAATACAAATTAATTATCATACTTCTACAACTTTCATTTATAGACAAATGTAATGATCACTCTCTAGAATGATTATAACACAAGCAAGTACAGTAAGTGCAAGTTTTTATGCTCATCATGGGCAAGATGATGAAATTGATCGCAATTTTCAAAACATAATAATAATAATAGTAATAATAATAATAATAAAGTAATAATATTATCACATAATCGGAAAAGAAATCTCTATTGTGAGTTGCCTTTATTTCGAACTCAAGTATATCATCATTGGTTTCTTTCTGTATGGTAATGATAATTGAAGATGGCATTAAGAAATTAAATTACTTTAATGGTATTACTGATAAATTATGCAGAATAGTATAAATGTCAGTTATAAGATTAATGTACTTGGCTTTATAAAAACAATTTAGTTAATATCAGAACATACATTTGTACAGTAACGACAGTTTACATAACTAAAGTTTAAACTGTAATGAATTTAGTATTATTCCCTAAAAATCGCACTGATATCCTACTGTTTTCCTTGCTGCACATATATTTGATAGCGTTGGATAAATCAGTCATTAGTAAAGCTGCTTATGATAGAATTTGTTTTGTTAAAACGTGTGTTAGCTTCTGAAATCTGTTCATTTTTTTTCTAAAAATATATCTGTACAAATACACACTAAGTTTTTTAATCTGTCACTGAAGGTAAGTAACTGCCTTTTATGTCAAGTAGTTGAAAGCGATCAGAAGAAAGTCTTGAAAGTATGTTTCGTGACTGACAATCTCAATCAACCACTTACCTTAGTAAATTGAACAAGTTTTGATATACTACCATTAACTACTTTTGGATATTTTCTGAATCCTCTTTGTATTTATTGTTAAACATATCGATCAATATTAGCTGTAATAGAATCTATCTCATCACTTTGAACTTCTCATGAGAACTTATGATCGTAATCACACTCCAAATGCAAAGAACAAATTCATAGAGTTTGGTCTTATTCACCTATTATCTGTCGAAGTCTTAATGTCAACTTGATATTTTATTGTATAGAGTTATATCACTTTACTTGTCATAAGATTCTTTTTATTATAACTTGTAATGGTCTAATCTCTAACATTATGATAGACATTTTCATTAAAAATTGGTATTCACTCAACAAGGTTGTTCTCTTATAAAACTTACTTGCTGACGCCTATTATCCTTTGTGAAGTATAGGCCGACGACCAGTACCTCTTGTGAAACATTGGACTAAAGTTACACTGTTCACCGTTAATCCCAATATAAAAAAGAAAACATACTTGACTGCTAATTTCATCTAATCTTTTTTGCCGTGACTCACATCAACTTACTATGATAGATTTCTATTTATCTGCTCTGTAAGTGGAATAAACAAAATCGAACACAAGTAATTAGTTATATTGTAATCAATTTTCACTACATAGTTTCTGTAAATACTTAGTACTACTCTACATCAAGACTATCATATAGCATATGCTATTGATTTGGATAATTAAGTTACTTGATATCACTACGATTTATCGTTTTCCTGTCGAAATAAAATGTGTAGTGAAGCAGACATGAAGCGATTACGTATCAATGTCTTGAAGTATATCGCAAACCATTTTCCTTTTTCAGAAATAAGTAGAACTTGCAATTTTGCATTCAATTACAATATAAAAAGACTTAGTGAATAGTTTTCAACTTCTAAATCGTCCTTTACCATAACTTAAATACTACAAGATGCATTATCACTTTATAGGTACTTATGTAAATACGTATGAATCAACAATTATTGGGATGTTTTGTAATTTCCCAAATCTGGCCTTAGCTTACAAACTATTAGATTTGTTTCATACTCAAATTTCAAAGCGAACTTAAACTTCATATTAAAAGAGAAATAGTAAAATAGTTGTACACTATGTTGAATATTATTACTATCATAGTCGGTTAGGATTCGCTTTTTAATATATCATTAATATGATCTAAAGAATCGATTTTATTATAACATTACTATATTAAAATCAGAACTAGGTTAAATAATATGAGAGTATATATTTACTGGCCTTTCAAAATTTCTCTAAGAAAAAAATGTAGTCAAATTATAACACATTCACGTTAAATACTTCTAAGATTGAATATTATGTGTAACGGCTGAAATTCTTCTAATCAAAGTTTATTACTCAAGCTACATAATACTACCATCTAATTGTTAGTTAGTTCATAAGAAATTAATGAAGTTAATATTAATTCGCACATCTTTATTATCATCATAAGTTATCAATTAAAATACGATAACATGATTATTTATTTCATGCTTATAACGTGATAATTACTCAGTGGAATATCACAAATATACCCACGTACAACAAAACAATTTTTAATTACAAACTTTTAAGTAGAATAATAAGAATAGAAGACAGTGGAGTTTGAGAAAGTAATGTATACACATGAAAATCGATTAAAGCTGGTGAAAATAATCAGATCACTCACTGACAAAGAAAAACAAGATTGAGGACAAAAATCAACTAAATGTCGGTACATAGTTAGTTATTCATATTAACGACAATGGTGGTGGGGTCATAGCGAAAATGATCGATCAATAGTGATAGAAATCGATTGATGGTTTGTTGTCAGTAATAAATACTATTGATGAAACTTTTCTCTGTTGTCGTGCTAGTAGTTTTACCATTTTTTTGGCCTACATGGTCTGTCTAGCTCATGTTCGAGTTGCAGAATGATGCAACATGCCAAGTGTAGAGAATTTCATTCGTTTTTGTTTTTGTCTTTGATTACAAAACCAAACTCTGACAACATTCTTTTTTAAGTTTAATTTTTCTGCAATCTGTGCAATTTTTTCCGATGACGGACGTGGTTGAATACTGAAAAATGCTTCAAGTGATCGTTTTTCCGAATCGGTTATTGATGTTCGTTTACGTCTTCGTTCTTCATCCAAATCATAAATACTTGGATGATTCAAACGTGAACTTGCTTCAGCTTCAGCTTCTTCAAGCCATGCTTGTAGAACAGGTTTCAATGCAACCATATTATTGTGTGATAGAGTTAATGATTCAAAACGACATATAGTTGACTGAGACAATGATCCTACACCAGATATTTTTAAGTTACCTAGTGCTTTACCAACATCAGCCTGTGTTACACCAAGTTTAATACGTCTTTGTTTGAACAATTCAGAAAATGCTTCCAGCTCTCTTGGATTATAGTCCAGTTCAACTGGATGACGATAAATAGATGAATTAGAATGATTACATCCTAAAATAGCAGAATGTGCAAAATTTTGAGGATACCCATTTGACGAATTTAAACGAGTCTTAAAGTCCGATGCTACTACACCGTCGGTCAATTGAGAATGATTAGTGTTCGCGGCATTATCGTTAAAACCATTCATAGGTGGTAATAAATAACAGTTTAAACTTGTTTTGAAATTATTTGTTGTTGATCCTGTTGCTAGGGTGAGATCATTACGAAAGTTTAGGTTGTAATCACAGTTACCACAGTTACTACCCATAAATTGATTATGGGTATGATGATGCTGATGTTGTTGGTGAGAATGATTATATGTGCCTAAACAGTGTTCTTCTACACAATCGTATTCATCTTCAAGTTTATTGTGAGTATTGGATGACGTTGATGCAGGATGATTACCGCCATCTATATTGAAAAGATTAGTACCTGTAAAACTACCCATTAAATTTCCGTTTGTATTCAAGTGACTAGATGGTAGACCATATAAATGTTCTTGTGTAGAATTTGACTGAATATTATCATACGACGTTCTAGTGAAATTGGTTAAAAAATTGTGTGATATACATGGAATCATTGAGTCAAAACTACCAGTACGTTCATTGAAGTTTAATTCATTGCTAGTGTTATTAGTAGCGACAGGTAATGTACTGCTTGAAGTTGTGATGTTACTATGAAAACGTAATTTATTAATAAGTAAATTATGATTTGAATTCCACTGATTTTTAATATAATTAATTTCATTATCAAAACTTAAAGAATCACTACTATGATGATTGCTTTCTTTCCATATACATTCATGATTGAAATTTGACAGTGATTTGTCATTTGGATGAGGTTGTGAATGCAAACTATGTTGATGACTGGTTCGTATTGAATCGTCGTTTAAATTATCTGTTGATTGAGATGAATAAGATAATGGTGGTGAATGGTCATCTGTTTGATTGACGAACTTGTCATAAGTATTGTTCTTTTTATTATTAATTTTACTGGTATTATTTATAAACGATGAGCCATTATAGACTGAAACTGAACTTTGATCACCAAACTGAGGTTTATAACCTAATAATAACCTTTCATTATTATTATTATTATTATTATCTGGCTTGATCTTATCTATTACATCACTTCCAGGTGTTGAATGCCAATCTAATAAAGATGTTGTAGTTACGGTTTCATTATTCAACATTTTTTGTGAATTCGATTGCTGTGGAGAGGATGATGATGACTTATGGAATGGTTTTGTAGTTGATCGATCATTATACAATTTAAGGTTCTCATTGTTTATTGTCATTGGATTTAAACAAGAATCACTGATTTCTTCACTTTCAAATGATGTATGGTAACTTTTATCGGTAATTATTGAGTTGTTTAATTTATAACTACCATTTATTTGCTTTGTTTTACATTCGTTACCCAAATATAAACGTGATTTCTTTGAGTTTTCATTCAGTTCACTTATCCCCTTTGCACGTAATGAATCAGAACAAACATTGCTATTATTACTACTACTCGTTGTAGAGTTATTGTTATTCTTTCCATCACTATTTAAAATGTGCTGTTTATTTTCCATTTCTATCAGTTCATTCTTATCAAATTCAGTTAAATAAGTGGAATAATTTGTAAATTGATTTGTTGTATTATAATTTAACTCAGTTTCATAATCTAAATTCGATGAGTGAGTTTTAAACTGAGTTGAATTTATTGGACTTTTATCATCATCATCTGTCGAATTATAACCATATTTGGTATTTTTATTAAAATCAGTTTCTGTACGATCATCTATCACATCATTGGTTTCGTTGATTTCATTGTTGTTTTCAATATTATTATCATTTCTATTGTCATCAATAGTTTTGTTACAATTGTGCATTTCATTAAATCTAGTCAATTCCAAATTATTAATAATTGATTGAGTTGTGAGTAAATTATCTTCGGTTGTTTGACAACATCCTGAATAATTGGAATTTAATCGCGTACGTCCAAAATGATCTTGAGATGATTCAAAATTTAAACATAATTGATGATGATGATTATGATGACAATATGGTCGCTGATTACTGTTATTATTGTTATGATGATGATGAGGATGAGGATGAGGATGAGAATGATGATGATGATGATAATGATTATTTGCATATGAATTGGACGGAAATAATCTATCAAACCATTGATGACTAGCTATTGCTAAAATAGGATTTAATTTATTTGATTCAACACTATTATCATTTGAACATTCGATCATTTCATCTTTACTAATAAGATTGTTACTGTTACTAGTAGTAGTAGTAGTAGTATTAATTTTATTGTTAGAATTAGTGTAATACTGTTCATTATTAAATGCATTAATCATCTCTGAATTGAAAGAATTCGAATTGTGAAGTTTACGATAAGGATTATTTGTTTTTATTAATTTCCTTGATTCATTGGAACACAAATTTAAATTATTTGATATGCTTTCCAAGGTACTCATTTGAAAATATTGATATATATATCATTCGTTTGATTGCTAGACCGATGTGAGGACTATTTATCTGTGATAAGAAAAATTGTTTTGAAATGATAAAAAAATAAATCTGTTTAATAAATTACATAATTAATACTAGTTTAATGTACTCTGAGATCACTTGTCATACCAGTAATAAAAACTCTCTCTATACTTGTATTTTGACAGGTTGTAATGGAGGCATAGAAAAACGAAACAGAAGCAAATATTATTGGGCATTGAACTGAGCAACTAAGAAGTGTTGTATATAATATTACAGTATGGAAACTAACTTTCAGATACCTAGAACGGTGGAAATTTGATAGATATTCACAAAAATGTAGATTTTCCCAATTAACAATAAAATCAATACACTAATATTTCAAGCATTGTTTTGTGTTTGGTAACAATCCAAAATTTCAACACAGTCTAGGTTTTTAAATAAGATTATAGACAGATCCCATAATCCATTGCATCTTACTATCTTAAGATACATCGTCAATATCCAGTAAAGATGCTAAACTAAAAGGATCAGGCCATCCAGAAGTGAAAAGTGATGATCCTGCAGAGTTGTCAACTCACTAAATTTATAGTCTATGAGAAAATCTAAGATATCCTGATCTCCTTCTGAGTTCCAGATATTCAACACTGGAAAATCCCAAATATAAACATGATATTTATTTAGTGAATGCTATCTGATTTCCATTTCTAGAATAGCTCGTGTCACTTATTGACCTAAAGCTATGTCCGAGCAAATAAAATTTGTCAATTTGAAACCACAAATCAATTTAAGTTAGATAACCACTAAAACCTGAAAGCACTAGACAAGTATTTTTTTCCTATTGACTGAAGTTAATGTTTACCTACTTTTCTTAAAGTATTTATTATCCATAAGTTATTAAAATTTAAATTGTCATAAGACCTTGCTCTTATCAGAATACGATTATGAGAACGGTGGAATGCAAAGAGGTACATAATATTAAGTTGTATTCTGTCAATGATAAAACACACTCAAAATTTCTACATTAATTATTCCAGTAAATATAATTGCATATTTTGAGCTAAAAATATATGAATTATGCTGTCATAAACTGTTCTGTACCAAGATATGATTATAAACACCAAGTACATAATGATAAAGAATTATGTAAAAAGTATTCATATGTTTGAATCAGCAGTCTAGGAACATGAACTTGATGAATGATTTCCACTGTTACTTCTTGAACTCTTTTGAAAATATTTTCTGTATACTTTTCTGTTCAGACAAGAAATCGTATGGCGAAAAAATATATTGTGCATATTATCTTTGAAGTAGATAATTAAGTATTAGATGATATTTGAGTACTATGGTTAAAATGCCTATGCCTGGTAATTTAGGATTCAATACAAACTAATTTTATATTAATAAAAAGGATTTTCCGATAATGTTTAGGGAAAATAAGTTTCATAAAAAACAATTCAGTGACTTTTTGTTAGTATAGGATTGTGGAGAATGCTGAGTTTCATTGAAAGGATAAACAGATCAGTGTTAGATCACTATTGAAAACGTGGAAATACTGGTCGGTCGTTTTGTCCCAGCATAGGAATATTTTGCAGTGCAAATTCATGACTTTGCAAGCGGAAACCGAACCTAAGAGCTACGTCCCACATGCGGACGTGTGATCTCCTGAATACCGGGCCGGTATGCAACGATGTTACTGAAGAATGTTAATGAATCCACGATTTTGCGCGACCACCATCCATTGTCTTCGATGGGTGACTGCTTCACGTCCGACATGGATGAACTCCACTGTTCACAGCTTCTCAACAGAACTCCGAGAGTTCCCTCACGAAGCTAGTGACCGGTTCAATTGTATCGGATGTGCGACAGTCACCTGTCGAAGGCAATAGATGATAGTCGCGCAATATCGTAAATTTAATGATTTTCTCATACCTTCGGACTATCATGGATTTCAGCAGAGAAAAACATTAAATACTTGTCACATGACCTAAAACATAAAACTATCAAGTAATCTGTTAGTTTTAATAAAGATTGTAAACTGAGATCAGTAAACTAACGTTTCTCTGACTTTCGACCTGTCCCTATTGAAAAAGAGTAAAAAGATTTTAAGGACTGTGACTATTGAGAGAGCTGATTCCTAGAATTCCAACTATAAGGATTGTCAAAATCACAAAATAAATAATTACTGTTGGAAATGCTATTTTTCTCATTTTTTTCTTCGAAACAAAAGAAAATGTTTTTGGTGATAATGTCATGTCAAAATTTCACTTCATTCAGTGTGCAAAAAGAAAATGGCACGTGTTGATTAGTGAGATTAAGTTTAGTAATAAATGAATCAGTCAACTAAATGATATGAATTATGGGTGTAATAATTTGCACAAAGAGAGTTTAAAGGCGTTATGCATATATATATATATATATATATATATATATATATATATATATATATATATATATATATATATATATAATTGAGTGTGTTCATGTGTGACAAATCGTTTGTATGAATATAATAGACAAATAAGAATAGTCTCAGTGTACTTTAAGGGAAGGAGTAAGTTATTTGAATGATTATCATTTTACCGGTTCTACCGTCTTCCTTCATTTTCTTCATTCATTCGATAGAAAATATATATGTTGAGAAGTTTTCGGAAAAAGTTATATGAATGAAGAAGGTAGAATGAAGAGGGTAGAGAGTAGTAATATAAATTGTCAGCTAATTTAACAATAAAGAATTTTTTTTAAGAGTAGATTTTGATATACTAATTTTTTTACGTTTGTTTTTTTTCAATATTGTAAAGTCCGTGAAGACTGTAGAAAATGCCGTAGAAAATGCTATATTTGTATAGACAAGTTTAGAAAAAGAATAACTGGGGAATTAATACTTATTGCTTATTTGATTCTTATGTGGAAAATACACATGGGAAATTAAGTACTTTTATTTGAAGTTACACTAATAAAATGGAAGAAAATTGGCAAATATTCACATTTTCCAGTGTGTAAGTGTTGATATAAATTTATAGAAGGCTAATATAATCTGAAAGGGAACTTCATAACTAGTCAAAATCAGTGAAAAGCAGATAGATAGATTAACAGAAGTAAAGTATTTGTCCTTAAAGATATTTTATTTTATTTTATCATAAAATTGTTCAACAAAATATATTTCAGACTAATTTCAAGATCAGAATTGACCTGTGCTGTCTCCCAAACAGTCATTCTTCAACAACTTATTCTAATTGCATCGATTGTAGTTCAGTCCAAATAAAGCTCATTTCTATTGTAATTGATGAGTTTGTTCAAAAGCTGTTTTTTAGGACCGTAGATCGAAAACTGTTGATATTTAATTGAGTATAATAAGGTGTTATTTATGATGACATTTGTTTTCCTCATTGAAATGACAACTCTACATTGTGAAAACTGCTCACTAAAAGTAATTCATTCCTAATGTCAGCTCAGGACTACGAAACTTCTTGATTTTACCATCATCTGTTAGAATAACACAGTTTAATAAAGTAATAGCTGGATTCTTATAGCCATTTTATGCTGACATGACACCCAACTGCTTTGATTAAAATGATTCTGACCCAGAAACAACAAATTTATTCTTAGAAATTTTGTACTAACTGGTTTTTGCCCTTCGCAGAAACAACTTCCTCCTTTTCATCATGGGAAGTCGAAGATAAATATCATATTATTTAATTATGTATAAATGTTTTATTCATAATTATCGTAAATATAGAAATAATAACAATTCTAACATTTCCTCTAAAGATCTCGTCCGTTGGAAATATTTCGGTTTCAGCCTCTGAAATTATCTCTAATATATTTTTTATGCAATAACTTCCATATACTCAGTGATGATTTGCGTAAAACTATTTTTTCAAGTATTGATGAATGTTCATACACTGCTTATATGTTGTTGTGGAAATTGTAGTGAACTGTTAGGTCTGCTTGAATCCTTGTACTTGATGCATTGAAAATGACAGCACAATTTTAGAAATGAGATTAGTGAATTCTGTCAGCTATTGGCATTAATGAATGGTAGGTATGAGTTACAGTATTTTGAGTCTATTTATGGTAACAGTAACAGAAGTTTAGGGTAAGTCTCTTGTGTACGCTGATGAATAATTGTTATCTATCATTGTTATGTATCAGTCAGTTTATCCAACTGTATTATTAAAGTATTATGGACGTTTTAAAACTCGCTAGATAGTATTTTGAAAATACTATTCTAGTATAAAAATTCTATATCACCAGAATAGGTGGAAAAGGAAAGTTTGGATGAAAGTAAATAGTTATACTTCAAATGGAATTCGCTTATAGCAGTTTGAACGTGAAAACTATTTATAACTGTTGATTCTACTAATAAAGTCACTTTTTAGTTGGATCATTCACATTTCTGTGACGGATTCTGTATCTAAGTCCTTTGTAATTTTTCAAGAACTGTTTACAGTCAAGAGACCGGATTTTTCAGATGCTGTGTTTTCGCTGTGTCAACAAAATATTTTCTTCTGCCAACCCTAATTTGCTTATAAACTTATGAAAAGCTGTTCTGATTAACTAACTTGTCCTCAAGCGACTCATGAAATCAGCAAGTTTGTGAACAAGCATTCACTTCTTATTTGAAATGGAAAATCCACACAAACTGAGTTCATAAAAATGACACCATTCATATTTATATGAGGATAATCTACGAAGTTTCCCTCTCAATATATATGCTGCGTCGATAATTCTATCTTACGAGTACACTAGAAACAGTAAGGTAGGAAACACACTGTTGTAAACTTTTCAAATTTCACGACCTAACATTTTAAATGAAAATTATTTTACCACTCTTTCAATCTTCACCACATATGATGCCGTCAAATACATGTTCCTCTATTTTTAACTGATGAGTTTTGTACTGCTACTAGATAAATCGGTGAAAACGTTTGTAAAGTGAGTGATCATCAGTTAATGACTTATTGATGCACTTAATTATTGATCA